ATCGCCTCAGATCCAAAGGAGAAGGAAGAGAAGACCACAAAGGAGAGCGAAGAGGAGAAGTCGAAGTCGGCTTCGAGCGGAGATCAAAAAGACAAGACAAAGAAGATAAAGGTTGAGGAGTCCAGCGCAAAGTCCAGCGAAAAGAAGACGGCTAAGAAGACCGAAGGAGACATTAAGAGTGATTTGAAAATACCGCCAAAAAAAACAGATGCAAGTCAGAAGAGAAAGCAACCTAGCCCAGGTGAGATTTCCACCACAGCGTCCAGTGGAAGGTCTGATGTTAAACGCTCGAAGCTGAAGCCAGAGAAACCGGAGAAGCGGGGCAATGATAGGCCCACAGGGTGCAGTCCAGATAAAAAGAAAAACAAATTCGATGATGACATGGACAAGGAGGCTTTCGGGTGGGTGGCTGGTTGGAGGGGTGTCCTCGCTCATCCTTTCATACTTGAAGTACAGGGGCTCTTAAGCTGTCATAAGTGCAATCTAATCAGGCCCAGACCTCAACCCTGCAAAGAACTGGACATGGTTGACCCACCAAACACAACATGTGAGGCTGACTCGCCGAGTACTTCACCTCCAACAACGGTGAAGCGTTTCCCTGAGCGAATCGCCACCATGCCAAGCCTGGATCTGATTGTGGATACCCCCTCGCCAAGTGAGTCCAAGGCCTCACGAGTGCGCAAGACATAGATCGAGATTGATTCATTTGTTTTGCAACTCTAGCTATATATATATAGATCGGTCTCATTGTTTTTAAAGCCTGCAGGGGTCCACGGGCAAGACATCTCGAGTCACCATATTGAACGATCAACAGAAACGAGATTTGGCTGCAATGGGGGGCCTGCTGATATGGAAGCCGATGAAAGAAAAAGACAATACTCCGCCCTGCGGAGGGCGGTTCAAAAGGAAGCGTCACCAGCTTTGCTTGCGAAGTAGAGGTGGGGGGTGATGGAAGTGTAATTATATCATTCTGTATGTACATATATCGATCAAAACTGATTTAGAATCGCTACCCACAGGTTCACGATGCTCAAACAATGGCTGTTGGCCGATGGTAAAGTAGATTCCATCGTGGTAGAGAAGAAGTACGTTCGATATGTGGAGGAAACTCGGACAGACAAATGGGTGACCGTTTCTTGGAAGTATAAGTGGTGGGCCCACTGGTGGGCCCTCTTAATCATATGGTTTCGTCCCAACATTGAAAGGCACCGTGCAGTTCTATATATACCTGTGAGGTGAGCTGGTTCCAACTGGAGAAGATTTATGGAAAATCGAGTGAAGCAAAAACTTTCCTGAAAGAGGTGACAGCAGGCTCAGCTTGAACCAATACATGCGATCGATAATTTTTGAAAAAATTTATCGATGGGCTGTTGTTAGGCTAGGCCGGCTTGCCACACCCGCAAGCACCCAATGTTAAGAAAGCTCGCCTGTACAAAGAGCTCAAGGAAGTGGTGGAAGCAACCACAACCACAACTGGCCAACGGGCTGACAGTTCGATGAGTCTCGGAGGACGAGTCAAATCACCAGAGATGAAAGCTTTGCTAGACACTAGTTTGCAAGAAGGTTGAAACCTTGACTCTTCTTGTTGGGTGTACCGACCCTTTGTGCCTTTGCACAGTAGCACAATCCTAGGCGAAACAGTTGGGCCAGGGAGTATCATCTATCGACAACGCAGCTGGATCCATGCTGGACCTCAAGACGGGAAAGATCGTGTCGAAGAAACCAAAAAAGGAAAAATCTCCTGTACAACTTGCTATCGATGAAGTGAAAAATAATCCAGAAGTTTCCTAGCCTGTGAAAGATATGTTCATTAATATACCGCACATGAGCGCCATAATATTTTTTACATTTCCCCATCCCAGGTTGAAGAAGCTCCAATTGGATGTTCCAAAATGCTTGGAAGAGATCGTGACCTACCATGTTCGGAACAGCGCGGAGTTGGTTACCTGCCATACACGCATAATCTCGATCTACAATATCTCACATATTGGTTTCCCACCCATGTCTCATCAAAGCCAACCATGACCTGTTTTGCCCGACTCAGGTGGGTGCGTTTGAACGACATGCACCATCGGTTGACTCTATGCATGAAGCAGCTGAGGAGAAGGTTGGTCAACCCCTTTCAGAGGTAGTGGTGGAGGAAGTAAATGATTTTCTTGATGTGCACAAGCCCACCCTTGCCACCATAGAGGGTGACGTTCGTGATGCAAAAAAACGCATCGCTTTGGCAAAGCCTCGAAGTAGGCCAGCGCCAAAGGTGGAGCCAGAGCCTGCAAGCTCTGACGAGGGGTCAGCTTCCGGGGGTGACAAGTGACAGCTGTTCGATCAGAGTCTGTTCCAGCCATGTCGATCAGTTAGGTTCAATCGATACACCTTTTGTTAAGTCACCCCCGCGGTATAGTTTTGGTTTGGGGAGCCATGGATCCATGCGTTCACCAGCGTTTTTTGATGTTCAGCTGCAATTCTATCGTGACAGCTACAAATACTGGATCCATGCCTGTGATCCTTGTGTTATTTGATGCAGGGCCAATATTGCAGTGTCAAAAAACTGACACCAATCTGATCCCAACCCCAAATCAGGTGGTCCTTAGGCATGAAGCAGGGATCACCTGTGAGAGCTTGGTTGGGCATATGATGTTTGGGGCACCGTCTGGGATGAAAAGCACCGTGTTTGGGGACCTGCATGTTGAAGAGCAACATGTTCCCACTCGATCTGTGCCCACCTATTCCAATTTTGGTTGGTGTGAAGGGGTGCTCAAGGGGAAGTTGAGCAAATTTGTTTCACACTAGTGGTCATAGTGATGGCCACATCATACCATCAAAGTGCTATGGGCCTCGTTGAAGAGTTCCTCGAGTTGGGTCGGAAGGCCATTCGTGTCACACAGGGTTGTTGCAACAAAAAAAGTCCAAACATGTCTGCATGCATGCATGCGATATAGATTCAATTGGCGAACCTCCAGGTCAGTGTTTCCACCCTCATGAAAATGTTCGATGCGATTGGGCGGAAGTTTCCAAGAAGATTGCTACCGAGCCTTAGCAAAAAGACTGAGTCGATCAATGCATGGTGCATAAATTCACCAATTTTGGGGTAGGTCTGGGTAGGTATACCAGGACCTTCAAAGTGACCGTTGTAAAGTGACCTCATCCTGGGACATCAAAAGGTCGCTATTGAAGGTCCTTGTTATTATTATCAAACCTGAGGCGAAATCTACAAGACCTTCTACGAATGAAAGCAAGCTGTGGGTCCAATGGCCCCGTGAGTTTTGGAAGTGGGTCCATAGGCAGTCATGGCGAAGGATGTTGCCTGAACCCTTTGAGCATCCTGGCATCCACATATGTTTGCATGCGCATGTGTGTGTGTGTGTGCATGTGTACCTAGTTTCCAACTAACAAAACGATGTCTCTTGACCCAAGGGTGGCTGTAGTGTTGGAGGACAAGTCCTTGGAGGAACCGTTTTCCTTTCGACATGGCACGTCCTGCTTCCAAGCGAAGTGCAACCATTCTGCACTATGCCTTGGTGTGTGGCATCGCATGAACGCAAGGTTACATATAAATATCGTGTGCTCAGGTTCAGTCACACATACAACTTTGGTGAAAGATTGTTTGCGCAGGGATTCCTTGGTAAACCAGGCGTGCCTTAGTTTATGTTACGACGTGTGCATGTGCACATGGCAAAGAGTGTGTGTTACGCTAGCTGCATGCATGTGCTGTGTGCGAATTAGAACAACATATCTGAGGATGTGGAAAGATTTTTGGAGCCATATGCAGCACACGGATTTCTTTAAGAACCATCCCATATTGTCAGACCCTGCATCCTAGCAGCACATATTCTTCTCCGAAATGTACCTCCCAGGTTTGCTCGTTACATGCTTGATATCCTCAGGCAACGGACCTTAGCCGATGTGTGCCCATTACAGTTCACATGGATGATGGGGAGGCCCATCGAAGGAGAATTTTTTTGGTCATGTCTTTCGGATCTGTCTTGGTACGAGGGAGTCCGTTCGACTCCAGACTTGTATTGTACATAGTTGACAATGCACAGGCCTGTTCAGCTACCTTGGATGCTTTGGATTGTTGGATCACCTGGTCGTTGACAGAACTTGCCATTGGGAAATGGTTTGAACATTCACCATGGAACGAACCTATGCCTCATCGGCAGGGCATGTCAGGTGAGGACATAGCAGATGGCTGGCGGGCTGTTGTGGTGGCCATTCAAGGCGACGAGAAAGGATTGGCGAAAGCGTTCCACTTCCAGAGAAATTGGTTGAATGATAACATTTGTGTTAGCTGCCCAGCGAGCAAAGTGTCCCAATCCCCATACCTCTACACCCAGTTCGGTGACTAGGCACCCCATCGAAGCTGTCAGCATGACTTGGAGACTGTTGTACAGCTTTGTGGCAGCACTCCGTGTGTTCGACTTCCAGGGTTTGCTCCAGCGATGATTCATTATGATTGGCTGCATGTTGTTGACCTTTGTCTGACTCCAGAGGCAGCTGGAAGTGTTTTTTCGATGCAATATGTTTGCAATTTGCAGGTGCATGCATGAGATGCATACACTAGTGTAGTATCCAAGGCTTTGATTGAGATATGTAACGACTCTTCATATTGGCGAGGAATTGTATGCATGCATGCATCAATTATATTTTGAGAAATGCATTTGTGGCTGTTCGCTGCTACTTCAGTGCTTGTAGGATCCTCCATTGACGATCGTTTGAAACAAACGTACATCGAATTCACTACCTTTTGCCGGAGAAACAAGATCAGTGACTTGACCATCAAGATTTGAGTTGATATATGTTTTGGATGTCCCATGGAATTTTTTGAGGAAGCAGGGGGCAATTCTACCGCTTGCACCTTGCACCAACATTGAGGGCTAATACGCACGTTTTGCATGCGCGCATCATTAATCATTCTTGCACTTGCCATGTGTTGAGGAAGCACATCCGACCTGATGCAAATTCATACCCAACCATCGCACAGAAGCATTTTAATGGAATGGTGGGAACCTCAGACTCTCCTACACAATCTTGCCATTTCAGAAACTGTTCGATCGTGGCATTTATTGACAACCAATAGCGGGCGCGTGCGTGCAGGAGGCGGTGATGTTGGCACAATGGATGATGGGTGTTTGCCTAGCATTGGGTTCACAAAGACCTGGCGACACGCACTGTGAACACGCACTGTGAGCCCCTAGGCTTGATAATAGTTGCATGCACTTCTCAAGTCATGAGTCATGAATGCCATTCACCTCCCACCCACACCTAGGTTGAGAGCGGCCATATTTGTGAACTTGGTGGCCATGAGGAAATCGTTGGGTTTGAAACAGGGACCCATCATGCAGGAGGACAATCTCCAAAAGTTGCAGCAAGCTTCGTTTCTTTACCACGCTGCGCACAATTGTGTCTTGCTTCAAGTTTGCTTGCACCTGGCTCCCTCTTGTTATTTGTTTTGTGTTCCTGGCTCTCAGGGCTTGCTCAAGAGGCCATTGATCAGAGGAAATGCCTCTGGAAATTGCGCCCGAAACAACACAAGCGTGGGACTGAGGACTGTACATGCAACATGCATGTGTTGCGCCGATGTGTGCCATGATGTGCTCAGGCTCGACCACTTGTGTCTAGACCAAGCTAGGGTGATATCACCGCTGTGGTCAAGTTGCTCTACCGACGAGGACCTGGTTACCAGGCTGCAAAACTGCATGTTCCTTTTTAAACGCTGTGCTTCTTTGAGATGCTCAATCGAGGTGGGAAAGATCAAATGTATAGCTGTGATGTCCCATCCACGGAGATTAGGCCGTCAGGTAATCTCAAGGTACGCATGTTATACATGCGTGCGTTGGCTTAGGAAGTTGGAGATGGATGGGAACTGAATTTATATATCATGCACACCAGTATGCTCCCAATCACGTCACATCAATTGCACCGGCCCATTGTATTTCCCATCTCGCCTCTGAAACGCAGAGCTTGTCCGCCAGAGCGCCGGAGAAAGCAGCGGCAGGTGTGGGGGTAAGTTGGGTAAGGACAGGGAAACCACACATTTGATCTTGATAAGTGCCCCTTTAATAATCAAGTGCCTCCTTAATCACCATGTAAGTGCCTCGATTTATGTTTTGATAATCAATCATCTCAAACATCTCTTGAATATAAAAAAATAATCGAGGCACTTTAATGGTGTTAGAATGTAAAAATCTACAAAGAAATAATTACCATAATTCAAAAAAAATAACGCTTTTAATCCAATTTTCGCCTTCCTATATTTTATCTTTCGCAAAAATATACTATATTTATATAAGCCATAAAAACTATATTTTATCAATACCAATAATTTCTTCTTTATTAATAATATAAAATAAATATTTCATTATTTATCAATATATATCTTCTATTAAATAATAATATCCTTCCTAAGTATAAAAAAACAACATTAAACCTAGACGACGAGTAGCCCGAAAGCATTTTTCATCACGTAGGAAATCAGAGTGCGAGTTATCCGGTAAGTGTGTAGTGAGAAGTGTTAAGTCGAGTGAGTTGAGGTAGTGTGTGGGTTTCTGTGCGTGTGTCCATCTCCGTATGGAAAGGAGTCTGCGTATGTGTGCGTTCGTGGAAGTTGAGGGAGTGTGTGGGTGTTTGTGTGCGATGCGGCCTCCCAAATTCCCCACCGGCGGCCAAACGGTGACAGCCCAGCTCATCGTCGTGAGCATTTGGGCTGCTGGTAAGGGGACAATGGCAGCCAGCGTGCTGGCTTACCCACTTCAACTATGATGGCAGCCAGCGTGCTGGCTTTGCCATCTGGACAATGGCAGCCAGCGTGCTGGCTTACCCACTTCAACTATGATGGTAGTCAGCGTGCTGGCTTTGCCATCTCAACAATGGCAGCCAGCGTGCTGCCTTACCCACTTCAACTATGATAGTAGCCAGCGTGCTAGCTCATACCCACTTCAACTATGATGGCAGCCAGCGTGCTGGCTTTGCCATCTGGACAATGGCAGCCAGCGTGCTGCCTTACCCACTTCAACTATGATGCTAGCCAGCGTGCTGGCTTTGCCATCTCAACCATGGCAGCCAGCGTGCTGGCTTAGCCACTTCAACTATGATGGTAGCCAATGTGCTGGCTTTCCATCCTGTTGTCAGCCAGCAAGCTGGCTTCCACTGCCTGTTGTCAAAGGTACGTGTTAGTTGTACTACCAAGTCGCCAGTTCTCATCTTCCAGCTCCCCAGCTACTCCGCGCACTACAGTTATATACTACCCCGTCGCCAGTTCGCAGCTACCACCCACTCGCCAGTTCTCCTCTTCCCATTTCCCAGCTACTCTCCATA